AATTCTCCTTACTGTCTGCCATATAGTTCTTGTGATGAAAGTTTGGAGAATTTGGTATTGGATCAACCAATAATCCCCTAATTCATACTTTTCTTCATTCTCATCACTTGTCTCCTTGAATTCATTTTCATATTATTATAATGATAAATTTTCACTCTTGAGAGTTAAAAGGTTAAATCTATTGGGGTCTTCATTACACATTGTCACTTTCTTGTAAAAACTCAGATAGGATTTTTTTTTATATCCATTCTTTGGTCTTGGTAATTTTTCATAGAAAACATCTCTTTTGTGAAAATAACAGTGAGGATGATAATAATGATTCTTCCATTTTTTTTGTTTTTGTTTTGTTTTTTTACCTAAAAAGACTGCTGAGGTGTACATGGAGATCTTACTTTGTGATAATGAAGATGATGATGTTGATTCTCTTTGTTGTCATCACTTGTCTACTTGATATTGTTTTGATATTATAATTAGAAATTCAGTCATGATTGCCATGAGAGTTAAAGGGTGAAATGTTTAGGGGTCTTCATTACACTTAGAGACATTTCTTTTCTCTTAAAAACTCAGAGAGGTTTTGTGTTTTATCCATTTGTTGGTCTTGGTGATTTGTCATAGAGAAAATCCCTTGTTGTGAATGAAAAGCAACACAAGTATGTACTGTAGACCTATGTTGGAGTGCTGACAGTGTCCCTTAACAATCACAAATAAGCTGTGACATAGATTTTTTGTTTCCCAATGCAATGCAGGCCTATTGTGTAATTTTTTTAAAAATGGCAAGAATACATGTAATAATAGCAATAATAACAATAATTCTCTAAGTGCAAACCAAAAGTGTTTACTGCAATTTTGATATAAGTTCTTGCTCTATGTTTTCAGGCTTAGACTGTCTTTTATAAGAAAAAAAAACTCTTTCACTGATGTGCAGCCATCAACAGAATATGTGATATAGTTTAAAAATCCTCAGTTGCATTCACTGCAATTATTGTCATGTCTTCATATTTTTATTTCTTCAGAAAGAAAAAATTTGTTTGACAGGTCAGATGTTCTTCATTCAGTGTTGTTTCCCAATGCATTGCAGGCCTACTAGCAAAATAAATAAATAACAATTCCAGATGCAATGTCAAATAGGCAAATTACTTTGGTAGACTATTTTTGATGATAATATAACTATGATAATAATATTTTTATGTTGTTGTCATGTATGTTGTAACAATTGTCTTCAAATTACCACTTGTGTAGCAATAAAATTTCTGTAAATCTACAGAAATGACTTTTTCAACTACCAAATTGGGTTCTTTTCCAGTCACGCTGAAGATGTTCTGTACAGTATTTGTGGAATGGGTCAAGGTTGTGTTTGATGGACTAAGAGGATAACAAATTTTCTTCTCTCTATTATGGCTGGTGTCCTTTATAGGCATGATAGTATTTGTTTGAATAAATTTGTTGGGGACAAACATGTAGGGGGAAATAATTCAATTTTTTTATCTCTGATGGAAATTTAAGCAGTTTGGAAATCTTAATAAGTGTCACCAGAAGGTTATTTTGTAAACTTCACTAAGGTTTCTTTCCTTTGCACATGAGCAATTTAGCATTGTCAAAGTTAGTGTTTGTTTATCTTTTAATTAGATGGTCAGGGGGATGGAATTCGTTCCTGTTTACATTTCCCCTTCACAATGTACAACTTCCTTGGACATCTGCTTCCTCAGAATATCTCATCCATCCATTCTTGCTAGTTTGTATACTTCAAGAGCAAAGTGCTTAAATATAGGACCACTTTGCATTAAAATGATACATATTGACTTACTCGTTGTTGTTTTCTCACAGAGACAGTCAGAAGAGAGACTTAAGGTGAGATGTCTCATGAATCCAGTAAAGTTGATATGAGCCAGGTGTGAGACAAGCATATTGGCTGAAAAAGAACAATTCCAGAACAGAGCAGAAAACATGTGTGGAAAAGTATGGTGTAGTTCAGGGCGTGAAGTTAACTTTTTTTTCTGATAGCCACTTGGCTCCTAAATTCTTCAAAGTGGTAGCCAATTCAAAAAAAGTTGGTCGCCATTTTCAAAGACAAACAAAATCTTTCTTTACGCTGTCAGCGTTCTAGATAGACCCTCCAAAATTAAGTTAGGGAAAAGATCTTTAACGTGCTACAAAGTGGACACTAGGATGGATGATATACAACCTTCAGGATTATCTAAATCCAAGATGGCGTCTAGTTATCGATCGAGATGCATGTGCTACGTTTTGGAAACAAAATTAACGAGGAAGTTTGCCGCGGATTTATCTTTGCAAATCTTTTTAATTCACTATATCTCTTGGTAAGGTTATGATGAAACGTTCTAGTCGCCAATTTGGCGACTAACTTTCAGGATTTGGTCGCCAAAGTGAAAAATTTAGTCGCATTGGCGCCTGTATTAGGCGCAATTTCACGCCCTGTAGTTTATGGACTCAAAGATGGCTTTTGTATCCAGTAACAAAGAGCAAACAACCTACCATGACACATGAACCTTGTAACCGCCTTTGTCAAGAGAGAGTCTCTGTGGCTCAGTGTCCGATTGTGGGGTTGATTCAGAAAGTCTGAGATTTGATTTCCCATCAGGATTGTTATGTCCCCTACTTGTGATGCGACAAAAAACATCCTTCTTGATCATATTAAACCAAACTTGCTTTGTATTCATTTTATGCCCTTGCAAGCAACTGAAACAAGATTTCAACCTATTGGTGATATAAATAATCCTCCATTTTGTTTAGATCTTTAAGTTTTCACCTGCTCCTAGAGTTCACACTCCTAAGATATAGAACTCATTCAAAACTTAACTTACTCAATTATGGCTTATTTGAGGGAAAAGGCACAGTATTAGCATCAGCCAAGCAATCTATTTTCTGATATGTTAGTTAACCCTTCAGCTCCCAAGATCTAATTGCTAATTCTCCCCTCAAGCTGCTACACATTTCTTTGTAAGTTAGTTATGAGAATTTGATGTTAGATCAAGACAACAACTTCTACCTGAGTATTCTTATTACCTGTTTGCCAAGTAATATATGGATATTATAAGGAGAAGTTACATGTTAATCACTTCTGGGAGTTAAGGTTACTTCCCACCTTCAGAGGCAATGGGTTACTTTTTGCAGGAAATCTTGATCCATTGTCATTGATGCCAGGAGGTCCCATTGTCCTATTGGTGTGCAGTTTCAGGGGGTGAGATAATCTCCTGGCATGGTGCAAGTTGTTTGTGAACGTTTAGGAGCTAAAATCTTATGTTTGATTTAGGGAGGAATACAACAACTTTGAGCAAATTTATAGGGTGTATAGATTTGATAGATGTTCATCAAATTTCCCCAAAGCATCCCAGGAATAATGACAAAGGAAAATGTGTCAGGAAATTTTGATATTTGAAATATTTGTCCCATGGAGTCCATTTATGTAACATTTCTCACATATTTTTTAGCTACTCTAACTTAAGATGCCAATATCTACTCAACCAATCAGAATATCGAAAAAGCCCGACACACACTTGTTGATCGATGCCTTTTGAATGAGACTGTGCAGCCATCTTGCTCATGCAGCAGCATCCGATGCCCGAGAAATTCAATAGTAGAACCTTAGGTCACTTTATGCCTTACTGGCTTCTGACAAGTGACCAAGACAGAATTTCTCCTTACAATATGAATGCAATATCAAGCAGGCAGGTGATGAGAATAGAGATGAATATCAATCATGGGATTATTAATTGATCCAATACCAAATTCTCTGAACTAACATCATAAGAATTGTATGGCAGATAGTAAGGAGAATTAATAATCAGATCTTAGGATTGAAAGGGTTAAAGAAAAGTCCCTTAAATGATAGTTTTATTGTATTCTGCATTTATTAAACTTTCTTCTGATATATAATTTGCTATGATTTTGGTTAAACTAGCACACGTACAAATTTTTTCCTGTAGGACACCTGCGAAGCTGGGAAGTAAACTAAACCCTTTAACTCCCAGATCAAATTTCTAATTCTCCTTAATGTCAACCATACAATTCCTATAATGTTAGTTCAGACAATTTAGTATTGGATCAACTAATTATCCCCAAATTGATATTTTTCTTTAATCTCATCACTTATCTGGTTGATATTGTATTGATATTATAGGGAGAAATTCTGTCTTGGTCACTCGTGGGAGTTAAAGGGTTAAAGGATTTAGAATTATCTTGACCTTGTAGTTGTTCATTTCCTGGGATGTCAGCTAAAAGGATGATGGAATCTACCTCCTCTAAGCTGATGAACTTAATTCTCATTACTTGTTTATTCAACAATGCACTTATGTTTTCAGGGGAAGTTGCATTTTCATCACTTTTGGTAGCTAAATGGTTCAGTGTGGAAAATGAATTGTGAAAGTTGGCTGGTATGAAGTGACATAAGGAGGAGCATCAGGGATAGGAGAACCTAAGGAAAACCTAGAGGAGGGAGGGTGGGGGAACTATGGCTTGTCTTCCACACCCCCCCCCTCCCCCACCTTCACCATCATTTCACTTTCAAATGGCACACAGTCCTCAGCACAAATCTCTCTCCATAGACTCTTGCCCTTCAGCCCCCATACAACATCAAAATTCAATGTGGTCATTCCAAAACAGGGGTAGTTTGGTGATGAAGTTTCTGAACTGTTGAATACAGTTGGCTGTGAGTCAATGTAAAAATGATAATGAGAGGCAAAACACATGGAAAGGTTAATGAAGGCCAAAACACCAAAAGAGGTAGTGAAAAAAAAAACCCAATGTGACAGGATTGTGAACTTGTGGATAAACTCTGCAGAAAACAATTGTTTAGTGTATTTTGTCAGACCAAGTCTAAGGTTGCAAAATAAATCTGAGAATTAACTCCAACAATCCAATCCAATTCTTAGTTTTATTTATTTACACTTATTTTAGTAAAATAATAAATTTCACTGAATTAACAAAACTGAAAAATCAGAGAAAAATAAGAAATGTAAAAGTACTTCAAATAAGAGCAAAATGTGTAGTGATCACAGGAACAAAAACTTTCAAGTTGGCCAAAGAATAAGTAGGCCTCCTAAGAATCAATAAGTTTTTAGGAGCCACTGACCATTAGGAACAAAAGTCTGCCATCTAATCACTAATTATACTTTTCCTAACAGATCCTTTTGATGAACCATTTTAAAACATCATATCAACATCGCCTTTAGCATTTACCGTTTCCTGAGAGCTCTAAAAGATTAAAATATGACAATACTGACCTCCCCACCCAACCCCCAAGGTAAAGGAAAAAATATGCAGAAAACTGCCACTTGTGCATCATCATACTCAACAAAGCCATGCATTCCTGGTTTGTGATTTTGTTTTCCTTCAGGTATTCCAACTATCTTTTTGATAATATCAGTTATCTTTCTGCTCTGAGTTCTGGGAAATTGTTTCATTTATATCTTAGGAATTGTTTTCACTCATCTGTTTGACTTTGGCAGCAGTATTTTGTGCAATGCTTGTTCTCCTTTTCTTCTGTTTTTTACATAACTCACAAGACAAGTTAGTGTTTAGTTTTAGAGTTTCCCGATTGCAATCCAAAGGAAGCTTTACCAAAGTTCTCATATTAATAAATGTTTAGTTAATTCCATGCTGTCAATTTTTTCATCCTGATTCATTTTAGTCCCCTTAATAGGTCTGAGGGCTGAAATGCAGCTTTCAGTGTCACTAGCTTTCGATTCAGCCTTATTTGAAAGAGCATTAAAAAATGACCATTTATCTACAATAAAATGAAAAATTTCTGCTCAAACTAATACCAGTGTCCATTCAAAAACAATGTGCAGGAAAGATAATCTTTGTGCAGGATCAGTTTTTACTCTGTTTCTTCTCTGCCTCATTGTTGTCCTCCTTGTGTTCCTCTTTCCTGAAACAAACATAATACAATTTCAACTCTAAAGCAATATACAGATCAGAATTTCTAAAAGATTCAAAGTAGCTAGACACACAGCTCAAATAGCTATCAACTTCAAAGTCATTAGGTAGCTTATATCTCTCAAGTTGCTTTCATTGCATTTACTTTGGCCTGTCTATCATCCTCTTGGGCTTCCGTTTGAAGAATAATTTCTGAAGATTTCGCACACTAAAGCAACTTTGATTCAAGGCCAATTTTTTTTTAATGATTCATCAAAATCTTCTGGTTCTGTGGGGAGGGGAGGGGAGGGGAGGGGAGGGAGGAAGGGGGTCTAAAGAATATTATGGAGCCTTGCAGGGGATCAGGTGAATTTTACTGGGAGACAACCAAAATCCTCGAGCAGCACCCAATTCCCCCTGCTGAACATTCCCTAAGATAGCTAATGTTGGGTAACGTAAGGTAGCTAATGGAAATTTCTTATCAGAACTAGACCCACCCGATGTATGTAAACTCCAACGTCACGTTGTCTCCCATCAGCACAAATGGAGCCCATTGATTAGGCTTGGGAAAGCCGTTGCTTCTCAACCATTTTACGGCCTGGTGAAGAGATTCACTGGCACTTTCTCCACGAACAAGGTGCTTGTAGAAATGATTCATGAGCTGCTCCGTTGCTTCGTCTTCTATGGCCCACGATGCTACCAACACTGAACGTGCACCGGATGCTAAGAATGCACGAGCGATTCCAAGAACTCCTTCGGCTTTGACCAATCCACGCGCACTGTGACAACAGCTCAATACAACCAGTTTTGCTCGCACTTGAGTTCCGAAAATGTCGGACATTGTCAAGAGGTAGTCTTCTTCTTGTGGAAAACTGTTGGTGGTACATTTAGGACATTTAGGCGAAAGGGCAATCTCTCCTCTTTGGGCATTTCCATGAGCGGCAATATGTATGAGACTCACTGAAGGTATCGCTTGAAGCACTGCCTGTTTAGTTGCAGACTCTCCTAACAAAGGCTGAACTCCCAGCAGTCCACCAACCATCTCTGCTTCCTTTCTAGCACAGAACAATGGTACAAAGTTAGCGACACGTCCATTGTAATACACCTGGCCAACCGTAGGATCACCCACTACAAGTGCACCCGTTTTACTGTGATAATCCGCTGGACAATCTTGAATGAGCCGGAGGGTCGTCAGAGAAGGGACGATACGGATTCTGTAAGTCTCTGATAGATACTTTCCGGCTGCTCCATCACGCAAGGCAGCAAATGGGACTCGATACGAGAAACGATACGGTACAATGATGATTTCAGGCTCTGTTAGTAAATCTACCACAGGAGCGATGATCCATTTGTAACACAAATGATGAATTCTTTCGGTTTCTTTGGTTTCGTCACCGCGCAAAGTTGCTCGGCTCTCTTCAAAAAGAGATGTCGTTACGTTGCCATCCAAAGATCGATCTTCGCAATTCGCTGTGAATAAAACGCCAAAGCTGGCGGCGCTCTTTTTGAAAATTCCCTCCACGTTGCAAACTTTCTCAGGAATGAGAGTGCTGTCTTTCACTTGGTCGGTGACTCGAAAGGAAATGTCTCCATTTGCTTTCAAAACCCAAAGACAAACATGCCGCTCAGTATACAAAATGTACAAAAAGACACAGTTACTCTCCTTTTTCACGATGTGTTCAATCCCGAACCATAATTTTGGATCAGCCGAGATGTGGCTTTCAACGGAGAACTTCTCTGCCATGCATTCTACGAGGACTCTCGCTCGTCCCAGCTCCTCGACATAAAGAGCGTCTTGAAATTTGTCAGTATTGCAAAGCAAGTTAGTGAGCAAGTGATAAGGAAAACTACCGTGCGCTTCTAACAGAGATATTTCAAACTCTTTGTTTCCTTTAAGAAAACTCCTCAATTGTTCATATTTTCCAATACATTGAAGGAGATGTTCCTTTGCCTCCACAAACTGTGACTGCGATACCTTTAACTGTGTGATAACGAGAAGGCTTTTAAACTCAGTCAGTATGTCTCCAATTCTACTGCTTATGGAGCGAGCCTTCTCTAAGTAATCTTCTGCCTCGTCGCATTCACCAAGCGATCTAGATAGATTTCCGAGGTTGAGGTAAATTTGTCCTTCCAGAGCTTTATCCCCACATTCCTTGCTGATGGTGAGCGCCTTTTGATGATGTTCTTTTGCTTTCTGATTGTCATTGATAAAAGCGAACACTATTGCCAAACCTGCGTAGCCGCATCCTTCATTTCTTCTTTGTCCAGTTGCTGTACTGATGCTGAGTGCTTTGTCGAAATATTCTTTAGCATGACGATATTTCCTAAGGCTGCAGTGAACGTTTCCAAGGGCTAAGTATCCTGAACATTCCTCTCCTGTGTTCCCTATTCCTTTTGCGATGGCGATTGCTTTCTCGTAATATTCTTTGGCCTTCTGATATTCGCCAAGGAACTCAAACACACCTCCGAGGTTCCCGTATCCTGCTCCTTCTCCATTTCTGTCGCCGATTTCTATCGCGATGGCAAGTGATTTCTCGTAATATTCTTTGGCCTTCTGATATTCGCCAAGGGATTGAAACACACCTCCGAGGTTCCCGTATCTTGTTCCTTCTCCATTTCTGTCGCCGATTTCTATCGCGATGGCAAGTGATTTCTCGTAATATTCTTTGGCCTTCTGATATTCGCCAAGGGATTCAAACACACCTCCGAGGTTCCCGTATGTTTTTCCTTCTCCATTTCTGTTGCCGATTTCTATCGCGATGGCAATTGCTTTCTCGTAATATTCTTTGGCCTTCTGATATTCGCCAAGGGATTGAAACACACCTCCGAGGTTCCTGTATCTTGTTCCTTCTCCATTTCTGTCGCCGATTTCTATCGCGATGGTAATTGCTTTCTCGTAATATTCTTTGGCCTTCTGATATTCGCCAAGGGATTCAAACACACCTCCGATGTTCCCGTATGTTGTTCCTTCTCCATTTCTGTGGCCGATTTCTATCGTGATGGCAATTGCTTTCTCGCAATATTCTTTGGCCTTCTGATATTCGCCAAGGGATTGAAACACAGCTCCGAGGTTCCCGTATGTTATTCCTTCTCCAATTCTGTGGCCGATTTCTATCGCGATGGCAATTGCTTTCTCGTAATATTCTTTGGCCTTCTGATATTCGCCAAGGGATTGAAACACACCTCCGAGGTTCCCATATGTTGTTCCTTCTCCATTTCTGTCGCCGATTTCTATCGCGATGGCAATTGCTTTCTCGTAATATTCTTTGGCCTTCTGATATTCGCCAAGGGATTGAAACACATATCCGAGGTTCCCGTATGTTGTTCCTTCTCCATTTCTGTCGCCGATTTCTATCGCGATGGCAAGTGATTTCTCGTAATATTCTTTGGCCTTCTGATATTCGCCAAGGGATTGAAACACAACTCCGAGGTTCCCGTATCTTGTTCCTTCTCCATTTCTGTCGCCGATTTCTATCGCGATGGCAATTGCTTTCTCGTAATATTCTTTGGCCTTCCGATATTCGCCAAGGGATTCAAACACATCTCCGAGGTTCCCGTATGTTGTTCCTTCTCCATTTCTGTGGCCGATTTCTATCGTGATGGCAATTGCTTTCTCGTAATATTCTTTGGCCTTCTGATATTCGCCAAGGGATTTAAACACACCTCCGAGGTTCCCGTATCCTGCTCCTTCTCCATTTCTGTGGCCGATTTCTATCGCGATGGCAATTGCTTTCTCGTAATATTCTTTGGCCTTCTGATATTCGCCAAGGAATTCTAACACAGCTCCGAGGTTCCCGTATGTTGCTCCTTCTCCATTTCTGTTGCCGATTTCTATCGCGATGGCAATTGCTTTCTCGTAATATTCTTTGGCCTTCTGATATTCGCCAAGGGATTGAAACACAACTCCGAGGTTCCCGTATGTTGCTGCTTCTCCATTTCTGTCGCCGATTTCTATCGCGATGGCAATTGCTTTCTCGTAATATTCTTTGGCCTTCTGATATTCGCCAAGGGATTGAAACACACCTCCGAGGTTCCCGTATGTTGCTCCTTCTCCATTTCTGTCGCCGATTTCTATCGCGATGGCAATTGCTTTCTCGCAATATTCTTTGGCTTTCTGATATTCGCCAAGGGATTCAAACACAGCTCCGAGGTTCCCGTATGTTCTTCCTTCTCCATTTCTGTCGCCGATTTCTATCGCGATGGCAATTACTTTCTCACAATATTCTTCCGCCTCTAGATACTCGCTGAGGAAAATACAAAGAGGTCCAAGTCTCGCGTAAACCTCTGCCTCTTCTCTACGGTGGCCAATCGCTTTCATGATGGTAAGAGCGCTTTTACAAAGTTGCTTTGCCTCTCTAAACAAACATTTTGCCTCGTATTTGTCTCCCAGTTGTATGGTTAGTTCTCCAGCGAGGAAAAACTTTTCAATAAGTTTTGTGGTGTATCGTGCTGCATTTGTGTAACCAGACGTGGCGTAGTACGCATTGAATAATACATCAGAGATATCATGATCAAGGTCAATACCAGTGTCAAGCTTGTGAAGTAGAAATAAACATTCATTACATAACTCGGTCGCTTGTAGGCCACGATCAGTGTTGAGAAGAAATATGGCGACATCCAAACCAATCTGGACTGACTTTAGGATTTCTGCTGCGTTATTCATTACGTCATGTCCTGAATGTTAAAAGAATTTCTCCAAACGTGAGAAAAGAATCAACAAAAACTAAGACTTTCTATAGATGCATGAGCGCCTCTTGTCTTTCTTGTTTAATTCAAGACAAGCTCTATCAATTTTTTTAACCAATTGATCGTCGGTTAATCCATTGATCGTGCTATGCTGGTGTTCAACTCACTGATTATTTATTTTTTACGCGCTACACAATTAATTAGAACTGAATCTGGTCGCAGTTTTCTGTTTGAAAGTGACTTCCACTTACATTCATTAGAGGGGGAATCAAAATTAGCACCCTTAGCCATTAAAATTTAAATTCAACGCAAGACATTGTTAAATTGGTGTTTGTGTAACAAATCAAACGACATTAAATATGTTGAATCTACATCAACATTATCATTTTTGGAACTTCTACTGGGTAGACATTGTGAATAGAACGGGACCATTTTAGTGGGAGTGTGTTCTACACGACGCGTCTCGCGCGTGTATTCATGTCATTCACACTGACCTCTGCAACTCGCTGTATCTGCCTGATAGGTGAAAGAACTTTCCTGAATAATGCTTTTTGCTCAGGAAGAAGATTTCCTCGGACTTCTAACTTCAACAGATGGCATTTATGTTATTGATATGTTTTGGTTTTGAAGAACAATTTTGACTTTTCCTGAAAAATCCTATATCTGTGATTTCTATCAGGAGGGAAGATGAAAGCGCAAGCTGTCCTTTCTTTCTTGGTGAACGGTAAGTAGCTGAATTTTTTTTGTGGGAATATGAAGGGGCTAGTTTCTTCTTTCCCATCCCTTGTGCTCACCCGTTTTTTCGCCCTCATGCACCCCCCTATCACTCGCTCCAGCCGAGTGAGCGGCTTAAATCGGAAAGATTTTTACCGGATTAGATTTTCAATTCAATTCAATATTTTGCCTACCTGAATATATCCTCAATTTTTTTTAAATCATTCTCTTCATACTTTATGGCAAAAGATTATAAAATTTTGGTTATGGTAGTTTTATCAATGTTGATATTTTTAACCCGCGCAGCCAGGATGGTCAACATGCGAGAAGGTTTTCTTGTTTTACTTTGGTAATCTATTTTGATAACTCTTGCAGTCTCGAAAACTTTCAATTGTCTTTGATATTTCTGTATTTCATTGCAGTATCATACCAAAGCTATCAAATTGACTTTCAAAACCCAGGGACTTAATTTGCCTCTAATCTCTTGCTCCTCATTAAATTCTACTGCACTTAAATCTGATTAATGATCGAGGCAAATCAAAACATCTTTCATTGATCTAGGAACGTTCTTCTATGCCACACAGATCTTGTGTCGTCTGGTGTAGCAGAAATACTCGATGGAAATAAATTCAATAAAAAAAGTTACATTCCACTGTAAAAGGAAGTGTGGAACCACTCAAATGTCTCCAGAATGTTCAGATAAATATATATGTGTTGGTATTTCTAACTTTGTCCATACAGATAAAGCCGGCGTGTCAGTATCAGAAACTCGCTTTTGAGATGCGTGAAATCATACATATAAATGCCGTTGATCTCAATGAGCTTGCTAGACATTGGATTTTTCGCTTTCCCTAGTATATTTAGAGACTTAAACAGTTAAATTGCTTTGTTAAATATCTTTTGTTAACTCAATCAGTCTCACTTGCAGAACGTTCGGTAGTTTCTCTGGTTAGTTCTCTTGGTACAGCACTTTTACAACTTAATTGACGAATAAATCAATCAAGAACCGTCAAATCGTCTCTAAAAGGAACCTGGGAACTTACTTTCTTGATACTGAATTCTACCTCTAACAAATGTCTTGTTTCCATTACAGGAGATAATGCTATTACGTGACGCAGATATTGTTCATGCATCGCGTTTCAGACTAAATTTCATGGACTTGAATTGAATCTAAGACATTTCATTCGATTGAAGATAAAATGATAGAGAAAAGCGTTTGACGCATTTGTTCTTTTGTTTCAACCGGAAGCCCCGTCCTGATGAAATGCGTCGAAAGCGAGTCCGTCTTCTAACCCTTGGTTTGTGATGTAAGTAGACCAAATGTATTACTAGTGTCACTCATTACTAATCCATCTTTTCAACCTCCCTTTTAAAATCTTTATATAGGCCTATCGTTGACAGGCAATTAAATCTTCTAAAAGGCGATTGGAAATCATCCGTTAGCTTTGTTTTCCAGACAAAGGAAAATTTTCCCCTTGTAAAGAATTCCACTCGTGTTTAATACTAAAGTTACTCGTGTACCAACTTTTCCGAACGTTTTTTACGGTTAATTAAACAGTAATGTCAGTTTTATTCGTGGAAAATGAAACTAAGGAAGCAATGACAATTCAGAGCTAAAAATATAAAAAAAGCTCACCTTTGAAAACAGAAAATGCCTTCTTTGGTCTCCCGATGGTATGACTGATAAAAACAAAAGTAAGAAAGTGGAATGAGACTTTCGCTGCCAAACAAACGTAACTGCAAATAGCTAATATAAGAACGTTTTACTCACACGTTTGGTAAGAAGAAACCATACCAAAAAAACTAGGGAAAAATTGTTTTCTACATTGCCTATAATAAAGAAATAAAAAACGCGCCGGGTGCACTGTTGAGTTATATAAGCACGCGGGAATTTTTTAAAACACGAGATAAGTGCGGAGAAGCACGAGCTGAGGGCGAGTGCTTCTCGCACTTCTCGAGTGTCCTTAAAAATTTCCAAGTGCTTATATAACTCAGCAATGCTCGAGGAACAAGCTTTTTAACTTTGTTTGTAAAATGTATCGTGAACTGCGCGCGCTCGTACCGATGACGTAGGCTGCGTGCATTATATCTCAGTGAACTCGTGTGACGTAAGGCGCGTGCTTTATGGAAAAATAATGAACTCATTCTGGCCAATTACGATTTAACCATGTTTGTTTATAATTTCGGCGTTGGATCGCTCGAGCTAAGTGTTAAGCTGGTTCGGCTCGTAATTTTCGATTTCTTTGGCAATTCCCTTCTCTAAACACCACTTTTTCCAAACCGACAACCAAAAAGCATTGCTTTTTACAGTGTTTTCGTTGTTTGAGCTGTTTTTCAGCTGCGGTGACGAAAGAAAACCTACTTAAAACGCCGGCCATTGTTTCGCTCGCAAATTTTCAAATTTCCAAATTTTGTTCCAACATCCAAGGCTCGCATTAGATTGGCTATCTGTGAGTTTCTTTGATTATTGACCAATCAGAATGTCTGATTTGTTACTTTCTTCGCACTGAATTAACCCTCTTCTGCACTGAATTAACTCTCCTCTGCACTGAATTACCTGGAAATTTTATTTTTCCAAACCAGGAAAGGAGCTGAGTAATTTTTCCATGTATTTTATTAGGGCTGAAATCATACGCGTGATTTGATATCACAGGTATGATTTGAGACCAAAATTGCACGACACGAGGTTCAATTACCACTTTATTCCATCCATTTTGAAACCGCCCAAATACAGGACTTGATCAGGTCAAATATTTTATTGATGCAGCACTGAGCCGGTCTGAAATTAAATTCATCCAGTTTTTGGGGGGGAAAAGTAAGAGTTTTAGAGACAAAAGTTGCAAAATTTGGCACATGATACTCTTTATCTTTAATTTTCCGGCAGTTTGATCGGTTGCTTTAAACAAGCCTTGCAATCTAATTGGTTGTTTTGTTTTCAGTGTAGCCTCCTCATTGGCTGGGAAAAAGATGCGATTTAAAGCAAAAAAATGGTGCGATTCGTGAATAAATCGCATTAATTAGAGCCAATCAGATTACAGGGACCACCAGCGATTTCAAAATGGCTGTAATAAAACTTAAAACATTTCATTCAATTGAAGATAAAATAATACAGAGAGACTTTTGATGTAATCGTTCTTTGGTTTTAACCGGAAGCCCTGTCCTGATGAAATGCGTCGAAGGCGAGTCCGTGTTCTAACCCTTGGTTTGTGATGCAGTAAACCAAATGTATTACTAGTGTCACTCATTACTAATCCGTCTTTTCAACCTGCTTTTTAAAATCTTTATATAAGCCTATCGTTGGCAGGTAATTAAAACGTCTAGAAGACGATTGGAAATCATCCGTCAGCTTTGTTTTCAAGGGAAAGGGAAATTTTCCTCAAGAATTCCACTCGCGTCTTAATGCTTAATTTACTCGTATGCCAACTTTTCCGAACGTTTTTTTCGGTTAATTAAACAGTACTGTAAGTTTTATTCATGGAAAATGAAACTAAGGAAGCAATGACAATACAGAGCTAAAAAAGGCGAACAGCTCACCTCTGAAAACAATGCCTTCTTTAGTCTCCCGATGGTGTGGCTAATAAAAACAAAAGTAAGAGAGTGAAATGAGACTTTCGCTGCCAAATAAACGTAACTGCGAAAAACTAATTTAAGAACATTCTACTCACACGTTTGGTAAGAAGAAATCATGAAAAAAAAGACCTAAGGAAGAAAATTGTTTTCTAGATTGCCTGTAACATGTATTAAATAAAATACCAAATCTTCGTATTTTGCATCATTCAAGAAATGATAGATATGTAGTTTCTCCTTATAATATCAAGATACCTTACAGAAATCAAATGGTGAGAGTAAACGGATCGATCAACAAGATGTTATGTTTATCATTAAGATATGCCAAATCTCAAACCGATATATTTTAGCGTTAAATATTTCTGAAATAAACTTTAAGCCGCTCACCTTTGGAAGAAAAAGGGTATCTGGATAGTTAGGAAACCGAAGCAAGATATGAAATTATCTGTACAAAGAAAAGAGGAGTACAAAGAGTTACTGCTTGATCGGTTCAAATAATCATCATAAACATCTAAAAGATGGATGCTGGATTACAGCTTGCTCGTAAGATCGTCAATAAATATTGTAAGCTCCTCGCATATCATTGATAAGAGCTTGGTTGTTTTGATCGCGCTTTGACCGATTTTTTAAAGACTTTCAAGTCACAGAAGTGAGGAATATGTTGCTTTTCTTTACAATATCCACATTTCATCCAAT